CCCGTCGCTCTTCTCCACAGCAGCTGAATTAGATAAATTTAAGGTGGACTAGAACTCTGAAATAAGAACTGTATAATTAACTGTAACTTTGGAACTGGACATGATGGAAAGGTGGGAATTTGAAGAACTACGTGAAATTATAAAAAATATACATAAATCATTAAAATCAAGCTTAAATAGAATTCTGAATTCAGAGAAGCAGGTATTTAAAGAAGAAGGGAAGGAAGAAGGGAGGAAGGATAATGAAGGGGTGGAAACAGTGGAAAATAAAAAGCAGGAAAAAAAACTCCATTAGGTTTGGCAGTGGTACAGGGAAAATTGAAAAGGAGGTGTGTGTCCTCAACAAAAGGAAATAAAGGCAGACAAAAGATGTTTCGGAGGGTGACAGTGGCATAAGGAAAACTGAAGAAAGAGGTTACGCTCCAACAAAGGAAAATATAAAAGATTTCTTTGACGGTGGCTTGGGGAATATTGAAGAGGGTGGACGTGTCAAAACAAAGAAAAGGGAGAAGACAGGAATAGAGAAGTGGGACAAAAGACTTACTAGCAAAAAATCAAACAACTTGAAATTGTTATATAGGAAAACATAAAGCTGAGATAAGGGGTTTACTCCTAAATATGACAATAAAATTGAGTTGCTAACTGATTGAATATGATAATGGAAAGATAATTAAATAAAGGNCAATACTACATTCTAACCACTGCGCCACCAGGACTGCTCAAAAAGCAGGGAGAGAGGAATAAAAAACAAAAAGGAGAAACGAAAATCCAGAGAATAACACCATGGTCTTAACTTAAGTGAAGAGTATGAATTTGTCAATTTTACTTAGATAATAGAAACAGGGTTAATTGCTTACAAATGGTAGAAATATCATTTAAGGATGTGACATGGAAATTACCTTAAAGTTATACATTGTGCAAAGTAAGTAGAACTGACCTTTATGCCTTTTAGAATTTACTTACTTTACTCTTATCTGCCAAAATTATCATTAATTAGTCTCTTCACTTAAAGAAGCATCAAGTAGGGGAAAAACTCTGACTCATCATGACAACAATACTGCATATTAAGACTATATATCCAATTTTTTTTTGAAGAAGTTCATTGGAACTTGCATGACCCTAATACTTTTTTCCTGCTCATTAAAGAAACCTCCTTTTTTCCCCAGGCTGCTGTGCCAGCATGAAAAAGTTGCAGCTGCTTTGAAAGTTGCCTTATGAGCCAACTATTTAAAACAATGGAAGTCTGAAATGAGATGGTGTTGAATCCTGGGGCATAAAACACCCAGACATTGATATTCTTAATTGCAACAAATATTTAATTTGGATTGAGGCAGTTTATTCAGAAAGTCATTTTTCTGCTGGGCTTATTTGCTTCTGTTTTTATTGTATTTTTTCTGTCAGAAATGGAGCTTCTCCGACACAAAAAGCTATATACAATTGTTTTTGGAGCAAAAAACTCCCTGTCTTCTGAAAGTGCCTCATTATTGATTTGACTCTTTATTCTATGACAATGAATAAAGCTAATGATATATTAACTGAATTTTTTTTTCTGTCTCTGCGTGTATGCCATTCTTTTGCTGATTAGAAGGCTCTAAGAGCCAATGTTTTGTCTGGCTAGATGACATGCAGGCTTCCTTTTATCTTTTCCTATGATTTGTTGGATTAAACATTCTGTAATACATTACATATGATTGAATGTGAGCAGCTGACCTCTATACACACAGTTCAACCATATTTTATCCATCTACTAATTGTTACTGTTCTAATCTACCATTTCTCAATGCGTTTAAGGTAGTAAACAGGGTTAAGGCCAGTGGTGGGTTTCAAAAATTTTTGGAACCTCTTCTGTAGGTGAGGCCTGCTTTCCGGGTCCACTGGTGGAACCGCTTCTAACCAGTTCGGTAGATTTGACGAACCGGTTCTACCGAATTGGTGCGAACTGGTAGGAACCCACCTCTGGTTAAGGCCTCTCAATTTTATCATCATAACAACCCTGAGAGGTAGAATCATCTAAGAGTCAGAGCCTTGACTATCACACAGGGAGCTTTGTGGCTAAATGGAGATTTGAACCAAGGATTCCCCATCCCATTATGAACTATCTAGACCACAATGGTTATCATGCCTTATTAGAGTTTATTTAGTTAAGTTAATGTACATCTAAAAACTGGTCCAGCTTTCTATGCATAACTTCCTTCTTTAACAGTTTTAATCTGAAACCCAAAAAAAGGTAAATAGTCTTTATGCATTTTTGATTTGTTTAAATTTGTCTTGGATAAGTTACAAGGATATTCATCTTAATGTAATGTCATCACCTACTGCATGAATGTTGTGCTAGAAAAGTAAGTCTTAGGAATTATGTAACTTAATTTGAGGAGCATGTGATAACATCTGTACTTTAAATTATTTTAAAGTAGTGTTGATTTCGGATGACAATTTATGCAAAATTTCTTGGCGATGTTCTAAAATGAATTACATATTAAAACTGTAGAAAACTGTAAGCTTAATCTGTGAAGATCTCAATATCCTACACCAACTGTGTTTATAAAAGCAGCCCTTAGTTTTTAATGTTCTACAAGATTTCAAAGATTTTCCTTGAAGATGGCCAATTGGTATTTTGAGTCAGCATGGGATAAACTGTAACATTATATAAATGCTCTGTATTTTTTCTAACATTTGGTATAATACATAGGGATTTCTTCCCAGGATACTTAGGGGAAAGGATGTTTTCTACAGAACTGCAGTAGACAGAGGAAAGAGTTAACACTTTTTCCCCCTCTTCTGATGTAATCTTTATAATTATTATGCCTGAGATGGATCTCTGGAAATAATAAATGCTTGAAATGATTTGGTTCTAAAACTAAAGTTGGTGAGTCTTCAGTAGACTTTAAAGGCAAATATTTGTTCCTTGAACAGTATTCTTTGTCTTTTGACTCCGAGACACATAGATTCATTTTTTAACTCTTCCTATTTTTTTCTTCGTTGTTTCTTTTCTTCTTGCTTTCTAAACATACCATTATAGTACTGTTTCCTTTGATTTCAGAACCAAGAATGTGGTTAGTGTGGAATATTTTAACATTTTCATATTCTATTCTGATTGGAATCACTCATATTAAATCTTAATATGGACTGCTTTGATTATGGTTATTCAAATAAACTAGGACTAGACAAGCTTTGGATTACCACAGTTAGTAAACCTAGAGTATAAGGGCTATTGTACTAAAGTACATTGTAACCCCCAACTCTGGAATCTCAAATTTATGTTTTTAGCTACAATGCATTGTGGATTATCCATATTATTAAAATATACCATCAAAAATTAAATAAAATTGGTACTTTAAATCTGGATCAAGGATCCATACATTTTTATTCAAAATAATAGAAAATTGAAATATTAATTTTGGTGGTGGTATCCTGATTAAGAAAATTAAATGGAATATGTCATTATTAGATTATTTGATATAACACAGTGGTTAAACTGCTTGACATAGAAGGTGCATACAGTAGTATTCAACCAACAACCCGATTAAAAGGAACAAAAGAGTTTTTACAATATGGATTTTAACCAAGCTTTGTTCGTGTAAATATTTTAAACGTTTGTTTTAAATCTGTACTTAAAAGAATCCAAATGGAAGCAGTAATATTTATAATTTAAGGGTTTTGTGGTGCAATAATTAGCCCCATGATTTATTCTTTACTATGGAGTTTAATTTTGGCAGAACTATTATTATTGTAATATTATTTTATAAGATTTGCTCCCCACTAAGCAATTTTTTCTTTCCTTATTTGAAGTTGAATTGCCAAACTTGGTGTTATTTCCAGCTGCTACCAGTATTTTAGGGAACTGTGGCTGGGACCAAGGAACTGTTGCTGTTGCTTTCAAGTTCCCAAGACCGAGCATTTTAAAATAGCTTCATTGCTGAACGTTATTGAAAGAACTCTAGCCGCTGAATGTGCAAAGAGATGTGAAATTTGGCTCATCAGGATTTGAAAACGAATGTGTTCAGCTTTTTATCCATATTTCAGCCTGAGCAAATTGCTTGCACAGCTTTTTGATTTGAACGAAATGTTGCAAGCAACAGCAGCATTTACAACAAGTCAGTCCATTTTATCTCACATTTTGCTTTTTTTTTAATCAGAATTTTGATCCCTGGCAATTTTAAACCAATTAGACCTGTATCTTTTGGGTGTGTGTTTTTTTTAAAAGTTAATCACTACTTTTCAGATCAATTCAAGAACTGGAAGAGGACAAGATAAAGCTACAGATATCAGAGAGACAGAATGGAAACATGATAAAAGCAACACCATACTGTTAGTAAATGTGCTTTAAGGCACAAAAATGTAGCAGCCGTCACAACCCTGGTCAAAAGCTGGTCAACTGGGCACCAGAAAAGCAGCTGTAGGGTGTTCTCCAGCAAAAAGATGCCATATTGGGGCTATTCTGCTCACTCCTGACATGTTATACCCATGGAGACAAGGCAGGGAGAGATTGACTCCCAGATGCTTCTCTATGCATAATAGACTCCAGTGGAAGGAAGCAGACGTGTGGATTGCCCAATCCAATCTTAAACCATAGAGTTTCTCATGGGGCCACATTGCCATAACTCTGCCTGCAATTCAAGTTTATCAAATATTTTTTATCTTTAAAAACTAATAAATTGAAGCACTTAACATAAAAAGGAATACAATATTTTTAATTATGGTAGTTTTTAGACTCAGTTTGATAGATTATTGGAAACTAAGTACATATTTTTTTCTGATGAATTGTTATCATTACATGGGGAAATGTCACTGAAAAAATAACACAACAGCAACAGCATTTTGCCACTGCTTCAGTGCTGTGCATTTCTTCTTAAAAACATAAAAATGTATATATGCAAGTTCTTTGATCAGAAGCCTTCAGAGAACACCCATATAATTCTGCGTGCATAAAAGGCATATCTCAAATCCATATATTCTGTACTCGCAATGAATTTCTATTTTGTTCTAATGGTTTTTTGCAGGTGCTCTGGGAAAAAGAACAAGATTTCAGGAAAAATATGTAGCCCAACTGATTCTAGATGTTCAGAGGAAAGATAACATCATCCTTCCTTACCGAGAGCTTAGTCCAGCACCTACTCCACTAGAAGATTTAACTAAGGTATTTAAATCAAACAAAAGTACTAAGTACTATCTTTTGGAAGGGTCTGCCTTTGTGTGGGTTATCATTTGTTTTGTGAGTTATTTGTACTCCTTCAAATAGTTTTGTTTTCCCCATCCTTTAATTATCTATTACTTAATTGCCTATGAAATTAAGTCTGTTCTGCACCTGGAAATAAGTATGAATGTGTTTGCATCCCCCTCACCCGAAAATTCTAAGTGATTTACATATCATTAAAATGGACAGTTAAATCAACAATCATATCAGGCATCTTATCAGGCACCTTAAATCAAATCAGGCATCTTATCAGGCACCTTAAATCAACCTCATTCAAGTAACACCCCAGTCAAGATTTCCTTTCAATACAGATTTCGACTTCAGAAGAACTGTATTCCTCAAGGCCACAAGTGGAAAGAACATCCTAAGTATCTATCTCCTGCTGAATTTCCAATAATTATTGTACACACAGTCGCTTCATATTTAAAGGAGATATATTACAAAGGAAAAATATGGTAAAGCGCCTTCCAATAAAGTTTATTTGTGGCAATAGGATCTTCCTCAGGAGAAATTCTTCATAAGTTTTCAAGAAAACTCAGGATTTCTGGAGTATAGTTTGAAGACCACTAACTGGAATTTATTTCCAAACCATTCTGTTTCTTCAAGGAACTTTTTATTCTTTAGCCACAGCCCTGGTGTTCTGTCAGCTCTCCTAGTTCTTGCTTAAATCATCTTCAACACAGTTGCTGTTGTGCTAGCCAAGAGAATCCTTCTCTGTGGCTTAGTCAAGAGGAGAATTTATATTCCTGGCAAAGCTAAAATCAAATGCTGCTGTTCAAGATATTTTTTATGTTATTACTGCAACTTCCAAACAGATGAACAACTTTAGATGTAATTTATCACTTGTGTATATTTCCCCACAGAATTATGCTTTAGATGATGACACTGTACTCAATGAAATAAAGTTTGAAGAATCTCATCAGAACCAGATGCCTGACCTCTGTGCAGAAGAACTTGCTGTAATCCTTGGCATTTGGTAAGATGATAAACTTGGTTCCATCATTGTCAGTGCCCAGTCATAGCCAGGCTGCTTTTAAGAAAAGGCTAAAAACACACATCAAAGCAATACCTCTAATGGGCAAGCCAACACAGTGTATCAGCTTTTGAATTATCTAAAACCTCTTAAATTATGTGATGATAAATGCTATAAAAATGTTGGGTACGTCCATGTGTGTGGTTTGAGGGAAGTAGCTGATGTCGGAGGAACTGAAAACATTAACTTATGTTAGATGTTGCTCTGAATCCAGAATGATTGGAATAAGGAATACATAATGGCCTATTTTTGAAGAGACAGATAGGAGGTTCAGTTCTTTAACTATCATGTGTAAAAGATAATATTTTGAGAGTTGGCACATATTTTGTCACTGTAGTCTTGTGCACAAGTTATTGTGGTAAGAGCATTGAAACATGGGAGTGCTATCTATACTATCTTGAGTTTCTGGAGGAAAGGCAAGATAGCAAGAACAAAACTAAACATATAAATTACTTTAGGTAGCTTTGTTATATGTTTTCAGCCTCTAAATAACCCTCTGCAAGGATTGCAAGCTTAGTACTAGTGCGTGTGTGCACGCACACACACATGCACACACCACACTTTCCTAAATGCTTAGCTGAATAGAATTGAATGTTTTGAATTTCAGAAAGCTACATGAATAAAAAGTTGACTGGAAGTTATCCAGCTGAATAGACGTGGGGGGGGGGGGTGGAGCTCTCAAGAGCTTCACATGAACCCTATCTGACAAACCTGTTCCAAGATCCTTTTTAATGAGAACCCCCCTGGAGGAGGGGGGAAGAAGGGGCAGTGTCTCATCAGACCCAGGAGGGAGGCAACAGTTGGAGATTTACCCTCTGAATCGGAGCAAGGGTAGCAGCATGGCAACATGGCTGCACAAGAAGCTGGCTTCCAGCCAAAGCAACTGAACAGGAGTGTGAGGATGAGATGAAAGACTGGTAAGAAGATTCATTTAACCCAGTCATAAATCAAAACTTGGAAAAGACAAAGAATCTTGAGAGTACAAATAATATTAATAGACATCTGGATTTTGGCAAAAGGAAAGAAAGAAAGGGAAAATGGAGGATTGAAACACTAGCCCTCCAAAAAGCCATCTGTTTGAAACAATTTGGACAGAAAGGGAGAAAGCAGAGAAGTGACAAAGCCACTCAGATACAAACTCTAAATTTGGTTTTGGATTTGAAATAGAAACCAAACATTCCGAGGTGATTTACTTCGTCCGAATTTCTTCCAACTAATATATCTTAAGCAACTCCAATTAATGAGATGTGAAATGCAACAAGGGAGAAAAATCAAGAAAAAAGCACTATTTTCTCACTGATAACTGATAACCCAATCTTGCCTGTGCGGGAAGTTTTAATTAACTAACTACCATAAATCAGAATTTGGAAAAGCAG